TCTGCTTGAGACTACAAAGTTTCAATATAGAAAGTAAATAAATCCCAACAAAAATGGCTGTGGCCACGGAGCAAGCAGGAGGCTTGGGTTTCCCTGGCAATGGAGGAAGTCAAACTTCCTGGCCTGCCCTGATCTCTGCTCAAGGCTACAAAGTTTCAATTATAAAAGATAAATCCCAGATACCAGGGCCTTTACTTGGGTCACCAGGGGATGTGGCCAGCCTGCAAACCACCATAGGCCCCTTGCACAGTCTCTCAGCCCAGCCTGCACCCTCTTCCAATCTGGAACCCCTTGAGGGCTGTCCGATTGGCCGTTTATGCCTGATACTAGTGGGATAGGGCCTAAATGGGCAGGCGGACATCCCTCTCACAATCTAGGACTGCTAGCTCCTAATCACTCACCTGCCTGCCAGCCTGATCACCCCCTTTCCACTCCTCTACCAGCCTGATCAATGCCTAACTGCTCCCTGCCAGCCTGATGGATGCCTAACAGCTCCCCTGCCAGCTTGATTCCCTAACTGCTCTCTCCTGCCAGCCTGGTCTCTCCCAACTGCCCTCTGCTGCTGGCCTAGTTGCCCCCAACTGCCCTCCTCTGCTGGCCTGATCATCCACAACTACCTTCCTCTGCTGGCCATCTTGTGGTGGCCATCTTTGACCACATGGAGGTGACCATCTTGTGTGAAGGCATGAGGGTCAATTTTCATATTACCTCCTTATTACAATACTAGGCACCTGTTGCAGGAATATTCCTGCAAGACTTCTGGTGGGCTTCCCTCCTGCCACCCCACTTCTCCCACCCCCCACCTCTCCTGCTGCAGTAGGCAGGGCGGGGTGGGTGGGACAGACAGGGCACGCCCCACCCCACCGCACCCGCAGCCACCACAGCCACCATCTCCTCATCCATGCACGCTGCCACCACCGCTGCGCGCCTCGCCCCGCATGCCCCGACCCACTTTCACCCTCTGCTACTGCTGCCTCCACAGCTGTGCTTGCTGCCGCTGCCTCTGGGGCTACATGCCACCACTGCACACCTCGCCCTGCCCCACATGCACTGCCAGTGCTTTCCCTCCAGCAGCCACAGCTGCCTTGCTTTCCCTCTCTCTTCCTTCTATGCTATCTTCAGTCTTCCCTCCTTCCTCTTTCTGCATATGCAAATTAACTGCCATCTTGGGGTTAATTTACATACTCGCTCTGATCGGCTAGTGGGCGTGGCTGGTGGGCGTGGCTCGTGTAGTGGAGTGATGGTTAATTTGCATATTACTCTTTTATTAGGTTAGATAGGATTTTTGGCTACTTGAATAGAGTTATGCCACTGCTGTACACTTTTTTGTGAAGAATGGGAGAGCATTTTTCTGAATCTATTTAAAAAAAATTGTTTTAACCCACACCCAAAGATATATTTATTAATTTGAGAGAGAGATAAACATCAATGGGGAGGAGAAACATTGATTGCCTCCCGTATGCCCCCTGAGTGAGGATCAAACCCGAACCCTTTATTGGTATATCAACTATGCTCTAACCCAGTTGTTGGCAAACTCATTAGTCAACAGAGCAAATATCAACAGTACAATGATTGAAATTTCTTTTGAGAGCCAAATTTTTTAAACTTCTTCTAATGCCACTTCTTCAAAATAGACTCGCCCAGGCCATGGTATTTTGTGGAAGAGCCACACTCAAGGTGCCAAAGAACAGCATGTGGCTCGCAAGCCGCAGTTTGCTGACCCTGGCTCTAAGCAACCAAGCCACCCGGCCAGACCTAAATTTATTTTTAATCAAATTTAGAGTCCTCAACTGAAATATTGAAGCTTCATTACTTTCGGACAAAATTTTTCCATTTTATAAATAACAAAAGACCCCTATTGTAAAAAGCCATGTCTTCTTAACAGAGAATGTTCTGGATATGGAGATGAGAAGTGTTATTTTCTTGCATCATTCTTACATTATGAACTTCCTCTGGTAATTCAGTTACTCCTTGTACACATGAAATGGCAAATTTAAACTGCTTTTCCAGCAAGATTTCCACAATATGCAGAGACGTAAATAGATGTGTGATTTTTATAATTTTCTCGAAGTGGAAAAAAATAAAGTTTTGAAACTGTAGTATGCTTGGGCATGATAAAATCTGTTCCGCTCTGTGTGGGCAAGCTCTCTATTCTTATTATTTAAAGACATTATTGAATGGACTCTTTCAGATTCTGGGTAGAGTTGTCACTTCTTATTCCTCTGATCCAATAAATCATGTTGGTGACTTTGGCAGACTATCAAGTAAATTTCTTTACTGGCTGCTTTTTTTCCTTTTCTCTTTTTAGCTATGGCTGTCCACCAAGATTCAATCCCCTCCTGGAGAGTGGTGTCCATTGGTTCTGCCAATTCATGTCCTATCTTAAGTCTTGCTTTTTCTTCTGACAGTTATGGGATCTGAACTTTTATGACATACTTTTTTTAAAATTTAGATTTTGAACTAATTTTATACTTGCAGAATAGTTGCCTTAATAGAGAGTTCCCTAATTCCCTACCTTCACCTAGCCTCCCTCAATGTTAGCATGTTATATAACCATTTGTGAAAACCAAGAAATTAACATTGATACTGTATTATTAACTAAACTGCAGACTTTATTTGAATTTTGCCAGTGTTTTCATTAATGTCTGTTTTCTGTTCCCAAATCCAGTCTGATCCAGTCTGGAGTCCCAGATCACATTTACTTATTTTTTTTTCCCCTACTCTTCTCCAGCCTGTGACAATTTCTCATTCTTTCCTTATCTTTGGTGACCTTGAGACTTTTGCAAAATAGTGGTGATTGTTTATTTTATTGGCCTTTAGGAGCATCTTGGATTAGTTCCCCTATCTTTTTATATATCTGAAGTTGTATGTGTTAAAAGCCATAAGTTTATACTGATTTCCTCTGGTTCCAGTATGACACCAAAGGGTTCATGTTAGGGATCCCTTCTAATATATAACTTCTTTCTCTCTGCCCTGAGAGTCCTAGCTCTGTCTTTAGTTTTACAGTATCCAGTTAAGATACTGTTTCTAGTTTCTCAGTTTTTTATTCCCAAGCCTTCACCCCTTCATTGTAGTGTGGTACATTTGTGATAAAGTTAGGTGTAATTTCTTGTGTTTGTATTCCACATTAGGTTTCCCCACGTATGGGTTGATTTAATGATTTGTTTAGTTTTTGAGCATGTGAAGGGTGTGAAATAAGAGTCTGATATAAAAAAGGTCTCCTCAGAGGAGGGTCAAGCCTCCTCATCCTTGTTCTCCAGTTTCCATTCTTCCTTCTTTGCCCCCTGTTATAAAAGCAACCAATCTCTGTAGTTTTTGGTTTATTCTTCCTGTATTTCTTTGGATTTGTGCCATTTTAAACTCATCAGATTTGCATTAAAGCTTGTCTAGCATGGCATTAGGGACATAGTCATTTCTACTTCATCCTTGACAGCCACTCCTCTGAAAGAAGACACCACTGCTGGGAGGTAGACACCACTGCTTGTGCGGAAACCTCTCTTTTGTTTAGTACTTAATACTTTATATTTTAGCTACTTAGGTATGATTTGGTAACTTTAAAATGTAACCAATATTATATCGCTAATAAAGCAAAAAGTGGATGGGAAAAAATATACCTTTTTCTACACCATCTTATCCATCTTTTAAATATTTAAGTCCATTTCTAATCACACAAGTCTTACATATACTCATTGGGGAAAAAGAAAGCTTCACACATAAAGATAAAGTCCTTTTTGCTCTTTATTTCATATTCTTTGAGATACTTTTATACATTTCTGAACGTGTGTGCCAGTAGGAAAAAAGTATTGTTTATAAATGTGAGGCTTTTTTCTGTTTGTTTTGGGTATTTTTATTTTATTTATTTTTTTACAGAAAAGGTAAAAAAAATAGCTTTTTTACTCACATATGCCTTTAAGTCTATTCATGTTTTATAGGTAGCCCTGCCCCATTGTTTTTAACATATGCAGAGTGTTTCTTGGTGCCTTTCCTCACCTGACTCTTAGTGCACATAAGTGGATACTAAGAAGTGGAATTGCGGGGCTGTAGTGTGTTCATGTTTCATTGTGATCAGTACAGCGTGTGTCATTGCTTTCCCTCGTGGTTGCCATTTTACTTTTTCTATCAGCATTCAATCAGAGTACTCCTTTCTTTATTAATCACCAACACTTGATATTTCCTATCTCAAGTTCTGGACAGTCTGAGAATAAAATTTGTATTTTGTTTTAATTTGCTTTCATTTGAAATGGTGAGGTTGAATGTATTTTCATGTAATTATTAGCCTTTAACATTTTCTTTTCTGTGATTTGCTCATTTTTAACTTTTTTCTTATTAATTTGTATGAGTTCTTTGTATGTGTTAGACTTATTCACTTATTGATCTCTTATAATATGCCCAAACACTATTGTAGGTTCTGGGCTAACAGCAATAAACAGGTTTCTACTTTCACAGAACTTACAAAGAAGTTAGATTTTAAAACATCTAAGTAAGTCAGTAAAATTATATAGATATTAGTAAGTGCTATTAAAAATAAGGTAATAGAGAGAGAGCGCCAGAGTAGGGAAGGAGCCCCAGTTTTCCCTTACAGACTTAATCCTCTGATTATTTGACCTGAGGTGGGATGGTCAGAGAAGCCTTCTCAAAGAAGGTACAGTTGGAACTGAAACTTAAATGATAAGAAGGGGCTAGCCATGGAGTGTCCACACAGAGAACAGCATATACCTGGGCTCTGAGGTGGGACTGGTGAGTGAGGGGGTAGCATAAAGTGAAGTCAGATCAGCACAGATGGTCAGAAACAGTGAAGGTGATTATCAGAGTGTTACTCAGGAGTAGGTGAGAGGTCCGTGTCAGGAGGAGGTTTCTTAGTTCCTCTTCATTCCCGTCAGGCTAGGTGACCAAAAGGACTTTGCTCCGGGGAATTTGTGCTTCTAGACTTGATCATTGGGTTTTGTGGTGGTTTTAAGGCATAGGCCTTTTCTTTAATAAAGGAAAATTTTCTGTTTCAGATTACCTAAGAACAGTACGATTTGGGGTTATCACAAATAAACATCTTGCGAAACTGGTATCCTTAGTACACTCTGGAAGTGTGTATTTACATAGACATTTCAACACATCACTTGTAAGTATTTTGAAATCACGTTTATATTAGTGCAGTGGTTCTTAACCTTATTTAGATCACAGACTTCTTTGAGAATTGGATAAAATCTGTGGATACTCTCCCTAGGAAAGTGCACATGATTTTATATGCAAATTGAGAGTTCTTCTAATTCCACTCTAGGACCCATGCCCCTGGTTAAGAACCCATGGTTTAAAGGGCTCTTGAATTTAAAATCTAGAAATTCTTGTTTATATTCTTAGGTTTTGGGACAGCCTTGTTAGTTTTCCTTCTTGGATAAAATTATAAAACTATTCTGTTGGGGAATTGTTACTCTGGGCCCATGTTCTCAGAGGTTAAGCTTCCATTGGGCTATGTTCTTTGTTTCATTGGTTCCATTTATCTAGAGTAGCAATATGGCATGCTTTTCTCCTTAGCTGATATAATGGATTTTGAAGTTCTTGTCAAGTCACAGTGAGAAGTTGATGACTTCTCACCTCCATTGTCATCTTTGTTTGCTGATTTCATTTGCTTTTGGTGGTCCAACTTCAACTCAGCTACTTCTGAACTGTATCCTGCTAATCCTGTGCGTCTGCTCTATTTATTGCTGCTTCCTTGGTCCCAATATTGAGAGTTTATTTCTCTTAAGTATTTTCTATTTTTAACTTCAATGATAGTGTCAGTGACTTAAAGGTCGAGTGATGACCAATAGTATCTCTACACACCTTGCCTCAGCATACAAGTCTTGTGCCTTGTAAGTACAATTAGGCAGCAATCTCTAGGGGACACTCCTTGGTTGCCAATCACCCCAGCTTCTGCATATTTCTAGTAGCCCACATGTTATGCTTTTCTTCTTTCAGTTCATATCCTAAAAAAATCAAATGTATTTTTGTGTTTTCTAAATAGAAATGTTTATTACGATGTTTGTTATTTTAAACTCTCATCGTCCCACTTTGAGAATCACTGCTGTGCTTATCTCTCCTCCACACACCCACTCTCATTGCGCCCCTATCTAAGCTTCTTTTAACTCCAACTGCTTTTGCTGTGTGTCATTTTTCTTCATCTGTTTTTCATAACATGCTATATAACCAGCATATATCATATTTATAATAAAGAGTACTGAGGAAGAAATTAAAATAGATGGAGAAAAGAAGATAGAACTATGAGAATGACACTGAAAAATATATTGGGTTTCCTGTATCAATTCCATAAATTAAAGTTGGTTGTTTGATTTACCAGCAGAATTTCTTTTATCAAATGAAATACCATGATACTAGTATTTAAAAAAATAAATACAGAGGACATCTTTTTTTATAATTAATTGATTTGTTACAGAGAGGAAGAGTGAGGGATAGAGAGTTAGAAACATCGATGAGAGAGAAATATTGATCAGCTGCCTCCTGCACATCCCTTATTGGGGATGTGCTTGCAACCAAGGAATATGCCCTTGATCAGAATCAAATCTAGGACCCTTCAGTCCACAGGCTGATGCTCTATCCATTGAGCCAAACCTGTTAGGGCACAATGGACATCTTTGTTATGAATCTAAATTTGTTGTTTTGGGGGTGGCAGGGTATAAAATATCTCATTGTATGTAATCCTCCAAAGTACTTTGGTGTAAGTTTTGTTTCAAACTTACTGATATATAAATTGGAATTTAAAAAATAATTACATATTGACACACTTTGGTTGTTGTAGAAAAACAAAGCAAAAAAAAAATCTAAGTTTCTCTTTCTTTCATTTTGTACACATAAAGTGTGATTCGTGGCCTTACACAAGTTCTAGGTCATTTATGGATTCATTCAAATATTTGTTGAATTTCAGTTCTGTGTCAGGCTCTTCTTAGCCACTTGAGCTATAAATGAGCAAAATAAATATAGATTGTGCCCTAATAGAAGATTCATTCCTGCCCTTATGAGGCAGCCTTTGAGGGGCAAGGTGAAAATCTAAATGATCCATGACTCCATAATTTCTGTTTCCTTAGATATTCACTGATCCTTTTATAAAATAACTCAATAACACTAATAGCTCCCCTTTATGCAATGGTAGAGATCCTTGTTGCCAGCAGCAGGCAAGGAGAATTATTTATTGATCGATGCATCTGTCTAATGGGAAAAAGATAAATCACATGATATGAAAGTCACCTCTTGCAACTGCTCTTGCTTTTTCCAACCACTTGTGAGAAAATGCTCTGTCTGGAGAAGTAGAACCAGGTTTTAGCTGCACAGGCAGGGGCCGGTCTTGTTGCAGCTCTAGGCCTCATTTTCCTCACCTGTGAAGTGGTAGGGTTGATTGGGCCTCTTGAGGACAGTGCTGCTGTGCTTTGATCCTGCCCTGCCATTTATTCCATGTTTGTCTTTCACAGGTCTTTCCCAGGGAGGTCCTTAACTACACAGCTGAGAACATCTGCAAGTGGGCCTTAGAAAACCAACAGACACTCCTTCGATGGCTGCGGCCACATGGTGGAAAGAGTCTCCTGCTGAATAATGAACTGAAGAAAGGACCAGCCCTTTTTTTATTTATTCCTTTTAATCCCTTAGCTGAAAGTCATCCTTTAATAGATGAGGTAAGAGTTCTGATGTTAAAAGGTATCTGATAAGGAGAAAAACCTCCATCACTTGGACTTCTCTCATTCTATGTTCAGAATAATTTCCACGTGTAGCTGAGTGGTTGCTAGGAGTGGCAGTTGTGTTCCTAAGGTTACTCCTTTCTCCTGTAAAGAGGCAGGAGAGCCATGCCTAGGATAGGATCCACCAAAGCCTCTCTGGCCACGTTTACTGACAGCTGCTCAGATCTGGATGAATTGGAGGGAACAGGGAAACCAAACTATGCCTCTCGAGAGAAGGACCATATGCTCCTCTTTCTTTGATGACTAATGTCAGGGAGTGGGATGGACAGCCACACAGGCAGGATTTAATATGGCCTAGGACCATGGTGGGCAAACTGCAGCTCACGAGCCACATGTGGCTCTTTGGCCCCTTGAATGTGGCTCTTCCACAAAATACGACGGCCTGGGTGAGTCTATTTTGAAGAAGTGGTGTTAGAAGAAGGTTAAGTTTAAAAAATTTGGTTCTCAAAAGAAATTTCAATCGTTGTACTGTTGATATTTGGCTCTGTTGACTAATGAGTTTGCCGACCACTGGCCTAGGAGATGGTATTTTCATGGGGGCCAGCCAGACTGCTGGCCTTTGCCATCTCAGCTCAAGAGCCAGGAGCAAATAGTGCTGACATTGGGATCTCTTACGTTTCTAAACCTTTCCTCTTAAACGCAGATAGCCAGAGTCTGACCCTCTCTCCTGCCTTTCTGCTTCATCTGGTGTACTCACTCTGTCTGGGGTGAGTTTATTTCATTCGTGGATCATTTGGAGCCACTTAGAGAGCAATAACAATCAGCAAAGAGCACCTTGGATTGCTAAATTGAATTTACTGGGGGTTTTTGTTTGTTTTTTCTTCCCTGAAGGATCCCTTAATTTGGCCAAAATCAATTTCAGACAGCCATTTTACCACTGGCCAGGTTAACCAGACACTGCCTGTCCCCGCCTGTCTGTGTGAGCCTAATGGTCTGCCTAGAGGGAATGGAAGGCAGGGTTCTTGCTCAGCCAGACCCTTCACTTGGTTCAAGTTATTATCCCTGCAAGGGGACATTCTAAATGTTCGCCTGCTATCCTGGTTTAGAGGAAGAAATAAGAAATGAAGTAGCTTTGTTTCTGCTTTGATTAAGGAGGATTTGAAGTAATAAGACTTAATTTCTTTAGAAAATCTTCACTATACATTTTTAAAAAAATATATATTTTATTGATTTTGTACAGAGAGGAAGGGAGAGAGATAGAAAGCTAGAAACATCGATGAGAGAGAGTCATCGATCAGCTGCCTCTTGCACATCCCTTACTGGGGATACACCAGCAACTAAGGTACATGCTCTTGACCGGAATCGAACCCGGGTCCCTTCAGTCCCCAAGCCGACGCTCTATCCATTGAGCCAAACCGGTTTCGGCTTCACTATACATTTTATGAACTGAGACAATCTTCCAAATTACTAGGCCTTTACTGCATCTAATATTAAGAGCTTTAAAACTCTTTGTAGAAAAGGAGGGGTTTTCAAGCAAGTGTGGGTTTTTACCTTAACTTTTAAACTTTCCTTCTGGAGAATTTTATTTTGTTTAGTTTGGGCATACCAGGGTCCTAGGTGGGTGGTATTTTGTGACTGGAGCTTACTTCTGTGTTTAGGAGGTTGTGGTTGGATTTAGACACCTGGTGCAAGGACTCTTGCCTTCCAGCCCTTTGCTCCTGGCTGATTGTCTCTCCCCATTTCCCCTGACTCCTTTGTCTGTGGCTAGGCCTTCTGCTTATTACACTTTTGCCTTTGACTCCTTTCCATAGAGATCATAGCATCCCTGCAAGGTGAATGGATTCCCTTAACCTGTGTGGTTAAAGTTGCTGAAAACCAGGTGGCATCTTAGCAGTATTGGGAATTACTTAGCAAGTACAGTGTTCTGTGCAGTGTAGTTCCCTTTTTATTTCAGATCAGTTTAGGAGATGTTTACTGAGCACCATGTCAGGGAGCCACAGGGGAGAAAGTTGGGAAAGACACAGGCTTGGTTTCTTGGCCTCAAGAGCTTGTCCAATAGGGGAGCAAGAGCCTGCTTATAATTCAAGGTAGAGGAAGGTCTGGGTCAGGAGGAATTGAAGGAGAAAGGGCTGTATCCCAGGAAGCTGGGGACTGGGCAACAGAGGGGTTGGGAGAGGCAAGTATTTGAGACAGACCTTCATTGGTGGCCAGGGTCTTAATGGATTGAGAGAAATTTATGGGAAGGAACAGCTTGAGCAAAGGCCCAGGGATGGGGAAGTTTTGGTTTAGGTTTTAGGAAATAGTACTAGTTGCCTGGCCTTTATAAATGGCTGACTGGAGAAGACCCCCCCCCCCAAAAAAAAAAAAAAAAAAAAAACTTTGGAAGAGAGGCCCTTAGGTGCTTCTTGGAGGATTTTAGCATTCATTGTAGCTATCAAAGTCTCACTCACTGTGTAAAAATGTCAGCAGAGCTGTGTGTTACTATTATCAAAGTTTTCTTGGTAGCAGTGTTCCATAAAAGAGAAGAATAGTAAGATCCTGAACTTGGATGGTGGTGGTGGGATGGCAAGGGGGTAATGCCAAGGAAATAGTGACACTGACCAGAAGTCATTTGCAGGAAGAGTGGGAGGAATGCACACACTTCTCAGGGTGAGTTCTAAACTCATCAGCTCCTCAAACACAAAATAATTTAAGCCTTAATTCTTATTTTTCCATTACCACCTTTAGGCCTAATTTTGGGCAGATAGCTGAGGAAGCTTACATTGTGAAAAGAATGAGGTAATCGTGGAATGAGGTAGTAAAGTTGGGGGCTTGCCAAGCAAGGAAGTTTGGAGCAGCTGTAGCGGGCATTGTGATGGGGGTCAGTGAGACAGCCATGTCATGGCCACACTGTGAGGCCCAGTCCAGGACCAGGCAGCTGCTCCCACACACGTACCCATTCTCCTCACAGGAGAGCACAGCCTGTACTGCATACAGCATCAGGCCATGACCTTTGGGGTCATTAGAGTCTAGAGAAGGTCATAAGACATTTCAATGTGCTTATCAAAAGAGATGCTTCCGCAGCCGGTGAGTCTCTGTGACTTGTTTTCAGATCTCACAGCCCTACTTTGAAGCATTCACAGTCTGTGAGTTTGGTAAGCAAAGGTGGTTATCTTGTTCAGAATTTCTCTGATTAAAGAAATGGAATGAAGCAGTTACAGTGCAAACAAACTTATTTGCCAAATTTCCGTATTAGTTCACGTGAAATTAAATATGGCATCAAATGATTTACATATTTGATGTAACTTTAGCTGTAGTTTTCATAACTGCCTATAATATAAAAGGAATATAGGCCTGGCTGGTGATTCTCAGTGGTTAGAGTGCCATTTCCCCCTCCCCCATACTGAAGGGTCTTGAATTCGATCCCTAGTCAAGAGCATGTGCCTAAGTTGCAGATTTGATCCTTGGCCTGGGAATGGGCATGAATGGAAGGCAATCAATTGACGACTCTCTTCCTCTTTCCTTCCCTCCCTCTCTTTCTCCTTCCTACTCTCTCTAAAAATCAATGGGGGAAAAATCCTTAAAAAAGGAATATAAAAGTAAAAACTAGCTCACTTTATACGAGAAAAGTAAAAATTCCTCATTCTTCAAGAGCATTACTCTATACAAAATATTTTCTTTAATTAAAAATATCCTTGATATGGCTGCTATGTGAGAGAGAAGAATGAAAGATGAGGGGGAAAAAGACTTTTTAAGGAATTTTGCTGTAACTAATATACTCCTACTTGGACCTTTTGTAAAAGACTGTAGTAAATACTTGAGTTGGGAGTGGGGGAGGTGGTTTGGGTAGAAGTAGTAATGTACTATTGTGTCTTTGAATATTAAGAAGTACTAAGATGAGGTCAGAGGGCAGCTGGGCTCTTTATGGATTATAGAGGCCTGACCTTACTAGTATAATATGCTGTCAGGGCCTTATCCAAAAAGGGCTGAAGGCTTATGTTGTTATGGGGAAGAAACAAAACACTGGTTATCATCTAAAATGATCTTTTTTGTGTGCCCAAGAACTATTCAAACTATTTTTCAGTACAAATGCATATGTCTTGGATTAATTCTCTCTATAAATATCATAAGTTACAAAATTTTGAGGTTTTTTGAAATTGGAAAGGCACTCATTAAATGGCCTTCACACACACGCACACGCACATGCACACGCGTACACATTTAATGAAAAATAATCCTGAGTGGCTTAACCTTTTAACTGACTTTGGCAAGATTTGATCCAAGTTAGCATATAATTCTATTTTAGAGAATAAATACAGTTTGGAATATGACTTGCTCATCTTTCTTTTGAAACTGAGGTACGTGGTGGGTGGTGAAAGTTATTCAGTTTGGAAATGGAAGAGTCTTGGAATGAAATGTAAATCTAAATGGCTAATACTGACCTGAGGGCAAATAGTTAATCTTACTAGGAAATGGGAGCATGCATGTGCCACTTGTTCACCATGTATTTATTGAGCATTTGTTTTGTGCCTGGCACTGTAATAGGCTCTGCAGATAGCAGGATAAATCAAATGTGATTTCTGCCCCTGAGGATTCGTAGCTTGGGAGGAGGGGCATCTCAGCAGATACTTATGAGATACTTTGGAAAAGACTCTGGAACCCTGAAGATGCAGAACCCAACTCTTCCTGGGATAGGGATGGGGATAGCTTTCCTGAAGCAGCCACCCTGGTGCTGGGTCTGAGGGGCAGTATTGAAGTTTGTCAGTTGGAGTAGGTCCCAACCAGGCCTTTAAAGATATGGCATTGTGAGTGGGCCTGGCATGGTCTAAAGAGGGTAGGGTGACACCGGAAAGGCATATTCAGGCCAGATTATGTTAGATTTTTTGCTACAGTTAATAAGGAGCCATTGAATGCCATTTACTAGAGGAGTCTCATGCTTAAGGCAGTATTTTTAAAACTAAGTGGTGCCCTAGTTTGGCTCAGTAGATAGAGCATCAGCCTGTGGACTAAAGGGTCCTAGGTTCAACTCTGGTCAAGGGCATGGGCATTGGTTGCAGGCGCCCTGGTCAGGGTGCTTGTAGGAGGCAACTAATTGATGTTTCTCTCTCTCTCTCTCTCTCTCTCTCTCTCTCTCTCTCTCTCTCTATCTCTATCTCTATCTCTCTATCTCTATCTCTATCTCTCCCTCCCTTCTACTCTCTCTCAAAATCAATGGAAAAAATTCTCAGGTGTGAGGACTAATAAAACAAAAAAAGTGTTCACAGTGTGGAAGCTCAGTTAAAGTAGAAGCCAGAAAATGGTGGTCTGTGACAGCTGAGGGCCTGAATTGAGGCAGCGGCTATGGGAATGCAATGAGGGACCTGCTTTCCCAAGCTGAAGTCAGAACTGGCTGGATTTGAGGCCTGCGATGAAGTAGAGGAGAGATAGTGAGGATTAATTGATTTTTCCAGTTTGATGATGCCCTTTCCCTGAAGAGGGTGGGTACAGGAGGAGAAAGAGATTATGGGGGAAGGTAAGATGAATGGGTATGTTTTGAGTTTAGATAAAGAAAGACATATGGAGGAGTTTTGTAGATGTAAAGGAAAATGCACTCAACTGGGAATTGACATTTAAATTCTTTTTCTGATTTTTCATCAACAACCTGTATGTATATTGTGGGGTGAGCCACTTTATCCCTCATGCTTAGTTCTTGTCAAATGATAAGCCAAAACATCTACCCTAAGATCCTTTTTGTCTCTAAACAGTTGGTTCACTATTGGTTAGTAGAATATGTTCCGAAAAATAATCCTTGCCTCCTTATTTATAGATTTTGATGTGACAGCTTTTGATTTGACACAGTGCTTCCAGCCAGGGTTCCTACTTGGGAATCAGATTAGGATGATTTCTAGGCCTCTGTCATTCCACGCCTCATGAGTCCCACCCTGTGTTGCAGATCACCGAGGTGGCCTTGGAGTACAACAACTGTCACGGGGACCAGGTGGTGGAGCGGCTCCTTCAGCACTTGCGGCGAGTGGATACCCCAGTGGTCAAGTCTCTGGCATCTGAGCCCCCAATTCAGCTGCTGGACCCACCGCTGATAACGGCGTCCCCCTGCTGCAACACTGTGGTGCTGCCCCAGTGGCACTCGATCTCCAGGACCCACAATGTCTGTGAACTATGTGTCAACCAGACGGCTGTAGGCATTAGGCTGAGCTCAGTTAGTGTGCCACAGTGCAGCTTTCTTGAGATGGCAGCAGCTCTGGATTCTTTCTACCTCAAGGAGCAGGCCTTTTATCATGTGTCGGACAGCATGGAGTGTAGCAATTTTCTGAGCTCCTACAGCCCTTTCAGCTACTATACTGCATGTTGCAGGACTATGAACAGGGGCATGGCAGGCTTCATTGATTCTGAACCAGATGTCTTCAAATCCCCAAGCATTGCATTTTCTTCACTCGAGAAGGAATGTGAGGTTGATATCCCAAGCTCTGTTCCTCACATTGAGGAGAACAGGCGTGTCTTTCCTGAAGTGGACATGAATAGCACAAACTTCACAGGCCTGAGCTGCAGGACCAATAAGACCCTGAATCTCTACCTGTTGGATTCAAATTTGTTTTGGTTATATGCAGAAAGGCTAGGTGCTCCTAGCACCTCTCAGGTGAAAGAATTTGCTGCAATTGTTGATGTGAAAGAAGAATCTCACTATATCCTGGATCCAAAACAAGCTCTTATGAAGTTCACCCTAGGTACTACAGACACTTTCCTTCTCCAAGCACAATTAAGTTTGCATAACTTGATATAGGTAACTTTTATCTGGGGATCTCATTACATTTGGTCATGGGGGTGATGTCAACTCTTTAGCTCATTTGAAATATTTAGGCTACACTTGGTCATAATTTATAAGAAGCTAAATTTGTCTATTAAATGGAACAGAAACTTACAAACTCAAAATTTTTGGTAAGTTTGTTATTTAGACCTTGGGGGTAAGAGTCCAACATTCCAGATTGGCAGTACCTATCACATTTCTAAGGTAGGGAGAGCTGCAGTGGTAGAAACCTGGCCACTGTGATGGCGAGCCCTTTTGGTGCAAATGTCCCATGGGTCTGATGAGTGTGAGTCCTAATAGCAGCTTCATTCTCAAGGAACTTAAACAGAAAGCAGTGAACAATAGAACCACCTGACCTCCGATTTGTCTCAAAGATTTAAGTGTATAAGTGTCAAGGCCTAGTTCTTTTATAAGGGTTGGAAAATGCTGCTGTGACCTTGGGTGCCTAGATTGTAATAACAAGTGTCAGGTTACAAACCACCTTTTGGGGGATATGATCTATTCATTATAGGAGAGGTTGCCCTTGAGACTACTAGGGGCTTGACAGTTGCAGTATCTAACCCACCCTGCCCTGTTCCCAGGACCATGCTGACATCCTTGGTATACACACAAGAAAGTGAGAATTCAAAAGCCATGTTAGTTCAGCCTCATTGGAAACACCAGGGAAAGTCAGTGTTTGCCAAATGGAGACAGGAGGAATTTGGTAGGGAAAGAAGCCTTTTGTTTTCAAGTTTTAGAGAGTATTAGAAAAATAAAGTTAGAGCCCTAAGTAACAGTCCTTTCAGCTGTCTTTTTAGAGTCCAGGTGAAGCTTGTTTCTTCCATTAGACACATTTGAAAAGGCTTATATCAATATGATTTTGTTCTATATCAAGTTATATGTTACTAGAGACCCAGTGCACAACATTTGTGCACTTAGGTAAGTGGGGAGTGTCCCTCAGCATGGCCTGCACTCTCTCGAAGTCTGGGACCTCCTCACTCTTTACCATCCGCCTGCAGGGGAGGTGGGAGAGACTCTCATCACCACTGCTGCACTCAGCCTGTGAGTCTGGCTTCTGGCTAATTGGTGCCCCCCTGGTGGGAGGGCATGATCACCAGGGGGCAGCTCCTGCATTTAGTGTCTGCCTCCTGGTGGTCAGTGCACATCATAGCGACTGGTTGTTCTGCTGCGTGGTCCATTTGCATATTAGGGTTTTATTATATAGGATAAACAGGAAAGCACCTGAGTGTTTAAAGGACCCTGTGACCTGTCACTTTGTGTATTCTTATTAATTTTTGAAATTGCTTCCAGTCATGTTTTTTTTAAGTTGCAATTTGGTGTACTGAGTTTTTATAAAATGAAATAAGCCTGTATTTTTTTTTTTTTTTTAAGAAAGTGTTTATTGAATTTTCTGAATTCTGTTCAGTTATACCCAAGTACTCAATGAGCTCATAATGTGGTCACTTTGAATTTAAGGGTAATCTGAAAGAAGCCTCCTTAAGATTGCTTTTCGTTTTCTGTATCTTTTCGGGAACATTGAGCTAAGTTGTTCTTTGTCCTGAAGTTGGTGACAAAAATAAGGGTTCTTGTAAAAACAAACCACATATACTGGGAGTCATGGTCAGGAGAGCTGACTCTTTAAGTCAGCTGTCTCTGGGGGCAATCTCAGAATTTAGGGTTCATATAGAATAGGAAATAATTCTTGGTTTTATGTTTCAAAACATACCCAAGTAAGTGTTATTCAGTGCTGATAATGAATTCTCTTTAGCAGTCACGTGACGTTCTTCACTTCCTCCACCTCTGCAGAATGTCACATTGTTCATTTAAGACCAAAATGGAGAGTGTTACTAGTAGATGAAAGAACAGGAAGTGAAACTCAGATTAGTGCTGTTTCAGATGATACAGTTGCCTTTTCGGGGAGGGTAAAACTTCGTTCAAGTTAGGTTTTTAGATTATTTATGTTTTTTTAATGTGCTTTTCTGCTAAGTATATTTGAGTTTATTTTTTTAACCTTCTAAGAAAGAAACTTGAAGAACTTCAATATAAGAAACAAAAACATCAGCTCCTTGTCCTCAAATTAATGAGTGTTAAACTAATACATTACAGTAGACTGGTGTAATTACTGCATGTATAGTTATACTTAAAAGTTTTAGTATTGTAGATTGAAATCTCTTAAAAGATGTGTCATGTTGATGATTTATGCAGTCTCAGTTGTCTTGTTAGGAAAAAAAAAAAGCCAGGATATTAGAATATCTAACATGCATGGTGTTTTGTTATCTAAATTACCGAGTTAATACCACCAAACTAAACCTGGTGCCACCCTGGGCAGCTTTGTTCAGGGTTTTGCATGTAGCTGAAGTGTTAAAAATGTGAGCCTGTGAAGTCATCCCAATTTTTAAAATGTAGAGTTTAAAGTAGGCCAGCAATCTCCTTGTACTTAGAGAAGAGTTGATCTCATTTTCTCTTTATTTTTAGAGTCTTTTATTCAAAACTTCAGTATTCTCTACAGTCCCTTGAAAAGACATCTTATTGGAAGTGACTCTGCCCAGTTCCCTTCTCAGCATTTAATCACTGAAGTGACAACTGATACCTTCTGGGAAATAGTCCTTCAAAAGCAGGTATGGGTCTGGTTAATGTGGCTCAGTGGTTGAGCAACAACCTATGAACCAGGAGGTCATGGTTCGATCCCCAGACAGGGCACATGCCCAGGTTGTGGGTTCGATCCCCAGTGGGAAACATACAGGAGGCAGCCTATCAATGATTGTTTCCTGTCATTGATGTTTCTATCTCCTCCCTTCTCTCTGAATTCAGTAAAAATATATTAAAAAAAAAAAAAAAAAAAAGCCAGCACAGAATCATGAGAAAGGCAGAAATCAAGCCATCTACCCTATTAAAATTATCTCTAGTCCTGGCTGGGTTAGTCAGTGGGTAGAGCATTGAACCAAGGGTTCTTGGGATCAATTCCTAATCAAGGGCATGTACCTTGGTTGCAGGTTCAATCTCCAGCCCTGTCAGGGTATGAATAGGAGCCAACCAATCGATGTGTCTTTCTCATGTCGGTTGTTTTTTCTTCCCTTCCTCCCTTCCCCCCAACTTCTACTGTCTCTAAAAGGTTGGTTTAGAAAATTAACCACCTGATAGTTTTATTACAGAACGGGTGTGTGAATTACGTGGGATTTTCTAATTGCAAAAGTCCTTAAGATAGTACATAATTGGAAACATCTGAATATTAATTTTTTTCACTGTAATATATACACAAGCAGCATTATTGAGTGCCTACAGAGTTCTAAGAATGAGCCCAGTCACAGCCATCTTCCCTTTCCCACAGGATGTTTTGCTGCTGTATTATGCACAGTGGTGTGGCTTCTGTTCTTCCCTCAATCATGTCTTCATCCAGCTAGCTCGCCTCCTGCCAACGGATACATTTACTGTTGCAAGGTAAGGAAGCCTGTTCTGCAGCACCTTTGGCTGTGTTCCTGTCTTCACTCTTCCTTATAGCTTAGCCATATGGTTTGCAAGGGTTTGCTCATTTTTCACTAATTTTGGGAAAGACTTGGTTGAATTTAATTATCAGCTTAAAGTCATGAGCAAAACCTCATTGAAACCAAAGATTTCCAGAAGAATTCTGAGTGTTTTTTTTCCATGTTGTTGAGTGTGTTTAGCCCTGATTGAATTCATAGGAGGGTGAGTGCAGTTCTGTGGGATCAGTGCTGACCTGGTTGTTAGGACAGCCCCCTGGAGAGGCCAGCTTCCTGGAATACCTCAGGAAGAGTGCCTTGGAGTTGCATAGCACAAGGGCCTTGGCCCACTGAAAGGAGGCCAGTCCCCGGTGTGCTGCCAGCCGGTCCTGGGATCTGGAGTAAATCTCTCCACCAGGCCTTGTTTTTCTCCTCATTTGTAAAATTGGAAGGAAAGATTGGTTGATATCCACATGTCCTATTTTGTGATTCCCGTGGAAACTGTATGTGATCGCTTCAGTAAACAAAAAATTTTAAATTGCGTTTTGTAAAAACAAGGCTCAAAGAGGTTTTAGATAAGGTAGAAAGCAGTTTTTGGAGAAAATTATTTAGATAATAAGGCATATCTTCTCTCCCTCTTCTCCAGATAGATTAGAATTAAATATTAAATATCAAATATCAAATCACAGAGAAAAAAAATAGAAGATAGACTATTGGATTGGCTAACTCCTTTGAGAGATGAAAACTTTCCAAAGTGAAGCAGTTTAAAAAAATAATGAAAGAAAATGAACAAATTCCACTAGAAAAAATGAGCAGTAAAAATAAATAAGGAAAACAGACGGAAAAAAAAGGATAATAGTTGTATTTTATGGCATATATATTTCACCTATTATATATTCTGTAAGTGTTGATGAGAGCCAAATTTGAGATGTTATATTGCTAATACACACACACACACACACACACACACACACACATATATATATATATATATATTATATATATACTTAATCTCAGAACATTCAGTGAAACAGACATGAGTATCACTCTCTTTTTACTGAGGAAGAAACTGAGGCACAGAAAGATTAGGTAACTTGCCCAGAGTCACATAACCCATGAGGGAACAAGATTCAGAATCAAGTGTTCATCCTCCAGACCCCGAAAAATTAAAATGGTTTAAGAAACTGCTAAGAGTACTGGTTCATACAATGGAGTACAGCCTTAAAATAGAAAGGAATTCTGACACACACTACAATATGAATGAACCTTGAAAACGTAATTTAGGTGAAATAAGACACAAAAGGACAAATACTGTATGGTTCTTGAAACACCAAGAGTAGTCTGACTCATAAAGACAGAAAGTAGGATAGTGGTTGTCAGGGTTTTCAGGGAGGGTAGAATGGAAAGTTGTTTAATGGGTACAGAGTTTTGTAAGATGATGGTTGCACAGCAGTATGGATGTATGGTACTTAATACTAACTGTACATTTAGAAATGGTTAAGATCGTAAGTTTTGTGTTACATATATTTTATCACAATAAAAAACAATGGTGAGGGGGTGTGGAGAAACAGCTAAGAAGGATTCCAGTATGAAGAAAGGACATGAGCCCTGGCTGATGTTACTCAGTGGTTAGAGCATCAGCCCATGCACCAAAGGGTCATGGGTTTAATTCCCAGTCAAGGGCATATACCTGGGTTACAGGTTCGATCCCTAGCCCCAGTCAAGGTGCATGCAGGAGGCAACTGAACAATATGTGTATATGTGTCTCTCTCTTCCCCTCCCTTCCTCCCTCCTACTCTCTCTAAAAATCAATGGAAAACATATCCTTGGGTGAGGATTAACAAAAAGATAAAAGAAAAGGCATAAACAGGTTTTCATGTAGGAGAAAAGAGTAAATAAACAATGGGAAAATTGCAGTAAGTTTCATTTATACTTAATAAATTAACATGCTTTTATTTATTATTTTTAAAAAATATATTTTATTGATTTTTTTTTTTTTACAGAGAGGAATAGAAAGGGATAGAGAGTTAGAAACATCGATGAGAGAGAAACATCTGTCAGCTGCCTCTTGCACACCCCCTCCTGGGGATGTGCCCGCAACCAAGATACATGCCCTTGACCACAATTGAACCTGGAACCTTTCAGTCCATAGGCTGACGCTCTATCCATTGAGCCAACTGGTTTTGGCTAAATTAACATGCTTTTATTTATTTATTTTTTTAGTTTTTTGCTTTTTAAAAAAATATATTTTATTGATTTTGTATAGAGAGGAAGGAAGAGAGAGAGAGAGAGTTAGAAACATCGATGAGAGAGAGTCATCGATCAGCTGCCTCTTGCACACCCCCTACTGGGGATATGCCTGCAACCAAGGTACATGCCCTTGACCGGAATCGAACCCGGGACCTTTCAGTCCCCAAGCTGACGCTCTATCCATTGAGCCAAACGGGTTTTGGCTAAATTAACATGCTTTTAAATTACAGAATCTTGCTTTTATAAAATAAAGTGAAGTTAGCATAGTTAGATATAGCTAACAGAATAAATAAAATTGGCATAACTTTTTTGAAAGCATTTTAGCAACAGTGTATGAAATAAAAAAAATAGTTGCACATTTTTTACCTAGTTAATTTCACTTTGGGGAAATAAGGAAACAGAACTTCCATAGATGCATGAGGTAGGCATGGTAACATTATTTATACAGCAGTAGATTAATGGTTAAGTACATTATGGTTGGGCATTTGGTGGAATTTTGAGCCACTTATTAGAACAATGCTTTGCATACAATTAATGGAAAAGAATAGAGGATAAAATATATGATTACTGCTCTTAACAATATGTAGGCATGTATATCAAGCCAAAATGAGAGACCCAGAAAGAAGGTCCTGATTAATCCAATGGAATTCTGAGTGGATGTTTACAAATGATTTTCTTTTAATTTTACAGTTTGGTCTTCTTTTGAAGCCAAAGTCAGGAGGGAAAAAGCATTGTAGAATAAAGAATTCATCACCATTTGTTTAAAAAATGGAACTCAAATGTTTTAAGTAGGCAGGAATGCTGTTTTATTAGTAAAGCTGTTTAAAACCATTATAATTTGGTTATGTCATTTTTTTAAAAAGTGAATTTTATCCTTTTGGACAAATGGCACTAATCCCACCAGTACTTTTTGAAAATTTCTGTCAAGTTAATGAGTCAAAACATTTCCATCTTTTGTGTGCACTATTTGTAAGAATAGGGTTGAGGGGCCAGTTCCCTCTAGAATATTCTTTTTATGCAATCTTAGCCCCAATATGTCCCACTTATAGCTAGCTGCAGGAGGGGCCGCCACCTAGTTCAATAGTAATTAAACACAGGTAGGTTGGGTAATTTAGCACAGATGTCATTTTCTGTATTAAAAAAATTAATTTCAAATCTGCTAAGAAAATACACCTTTTTGGGCCTCTGTCCAGATTTACAAAATATAAAATATAGCATTTCTTTTCCAATTTCTTTTTTTTTTTTTTTTTTTGGTGCCCTCTCTGTAGCTTTTTTCCAATTTCCTTGCATCTTCAGAGAGGTTTGATGTATTTTGCATAATGATTTCCTTTGTTTTTTTCAGAGCTAATTTAGGAATTAAAGTATTTGGCTCAGTGGATAGAGCGTTGGTCTGTGGACTGAAAGGTCCCAGGTTCGATTCCGGTCAAAGGCATGTACATTGGTTGCAGGCACATCCCCAGTAAGGGGTGTGCAAGAGGCAGCTGGTCGATGTTTCTCTCTCATCGATGTTTCTAGCTCTCTGTTCCTCTCCCCTCTTCTCTGTAAAATAAATGAATAAAATATATTTAAAAAAAAAAGTATTTGCCTAGATCCTGTCAGGTAGGTGGGACTACTCCAAAGTTGTCAGTGAGGCATTTTTTGGGAAGTTCATTTTTACTTTCATAACTTTACATTTCTACTCAGTTAAGTGAAGTGGGAAGATTCATGTCATGGAAGTATTAGTGCATCTGGCATGAACTGTGTCCAATTTAAACCTAATGGTGCACTCACCGAGAAGGGGCTGGTCGAAGAAAATGCTATAGGATCTTCAGTTATTTGACAAGGTTCTTTCAGGTCAGAGTTTTTTCACAGATCTTTTTCTTTTCTTTCCCTTTTCTAGGATTGATGTATCTCAGAATGATCTTCCTTGGGAATTTATGGTTGACCGACTTCCTACTGTCTTATTTTTTCCTTGTAACAGGTAATGCAGAATTTTTTTCAATATTTGGACAGATGGGATTCTTTTACTGAAAATGAAGTGGATTTAAGATACTTAATGGAAGTGAAATGTGAATCATTAGTTATTACTAAATTACTTTGAATAAAATGTATTGTGCAAAAACTGTGCTATTAGGAATGAAAGGTAAAACAGCTTTAGTGTCACATTATGGTGCTGGTGGTGTGTTTTTTTTTTTTTTTTTTAAAGAAGCTTGCCCCTCCCTGAGCATGTGTTTTACACCAGCAAAGATGTCGTCATTAAAACTCATTTACTTTCTTGGCCTTATGAGCATATAATGGATGCCAAGATTGACAGCAGGGAGCTCAACATTCCTCTGGGGCAAAACAACAGGCACCTATTGAGCCTTACAAAGTGTGTTGGTCCCACCTGTCCAAAATTTCATGTGTATAATTTCTTCTCATTGAGTCCTGGCCATGACTACCTTGTTTCTCCAATGCAAAGAGGAAATAGGGGTCAAGGAGCCTTCTCCCAAGTGTGCAGACTTCTGTGAACATCTACTACAGGGCTGTCACCTGGATCTCCTCATATTTGTCAGGGTGCTACTCCAAGTTCATTGATTACTGCTACTATTCTGAAAGCCCAGAAAGTAGGGTGAACATTTATCAAAAGGAATATGAATTGGCATTTAGCATATGTGGATGTGGATGTTTTGGTAGAAAGGGAAATTAACTCTTGGCCTTTCAAAGCCAATAAACCAGATGTTCTCTCCCTTTTTACAGATTTCCCTTTTGTTATTAAAAGGATGGGTCCTTGGGGACCCAGTCACATGGCTTTACTGGGAAAAAGCATTTGCTGGGTTATTTCAGTGAGGTCCCTAACTCATATATGACATTTACTGTTTTAATTTCCTGCACTCTTGCCATTTATTGTAGCCACTACCTTGCTTTTTGTGTTTTGCCAGGAGAGTGCTTCCTTCATACATACTGAATCATTTCCTTGTTTTTTCCTCTTTATCTCAAAGATTTTTTTCTGGAATACTTCCTGTGGTAGTAGAGTCTTGTCAAATCGCACACTAAAAGCAGAGCATGACTCACCCTATTGTACTACTGGTTGTGTCTTGAGGACCCTTTTCTTTCTAAGGAGCTTTAAAGAGTCACACAGTCACGGGATCATGGACAATAACACCAGCAATTCCATCTGGATGGGTCAGAGGTTGGGCATGAAATTTAATGAAACATAATTTTAGAATTCCAAACACAGTTTAGAAAAGTATTAAAGCCATAACATCCAGCTCTGGCCTTTGCATAAAGAAGTTCTCAGCAACTAGAATCCATGAATATATATTAGGAGACAGGGAAAGACATCCAGAGACTTGGTGGTAGGGAGTTGTGTGTTTGGAGGCCTGAGTCTGGTTTGAGTAGCTTTCATTCTAAAGTTGTCTGATGTAGTCAGCATGGAGGTGAGATTGTTTTCCACACCCACATTGGGGTCACTGCAGCCCCTTGGTATATTCCCTGAATTGAAAAATCAAGAAGGTAAATATTGAACATGAAAAGACTGTCCAGTTCTATTTTAATGGAAAGAGCTTACTTGATCAACTAAAACATAACTGCTTTGGGATGGAATTGTACTTATTTCCTCAAAATAAATTATAATCAGAAGTGCCTCATTACCTCGTCCGAAGTGAGTCTTCAGTTTACTCAGGAAGTAAATGGGCAAAGGATATGAGCTGACAGCTCGAAAAAGAGGAAATAAAAAAGACTGATTGGTAACATGTAACAAGACCTTTTTCACAGTTCTTTTTAGTGAAAAGAATATAAAATGTGTTTTGATAAAATACAAATTTGCACTGGTTAAAATGTGTACATAAGGGAAGAAAAGATGTCAAGATGTTGACAATGATTGAGGATTACAAGTGATCTGATGGTACCTCTTGTGTGCTTTTTGCATCCTTTGCAAATTGTCTAGAGTGAGCACATCTTATTTTATAATCATTAAAGGAAACCATATGAAAGAGCTTGTCCTCTGACCCAGTATGCAATCCAGCCCCTCCTGCTCCTGGCTGGGCCAGCCTTCCTGTTCAGGGGCATCTTAGAACTACCTTCCTTCCACCACTATGTGTGATAGTTCAAAATATAGGTGCTGTGGCCCCGCTCTGGGCTAGGATATCAGAAGTGTGGAAGGGTTCATTCTAATGTATCCCCTGAGGAAGGACCTTACTTCTTCAGAGAAGCAGGCCCATTCTCCCTCAGTATGAGAGCCCCTTCTTTGGAGTAGAGCCTTAGACCCCATTTGTCATTTTTAAAATCTGGCCTTTTACATGCCAGAGGTGCATAAACATGCTCCTAGTGAATTTAGAGGAGAGTCAGGTAAATAGTGAGACCTCTACCACCACACTTTCAAAGTGATTATTTTTTTTGGAAGCAGTTTGTTGACACTCTTTCCTTGCTACTTATAAAAAGGTTGGAAGCATTTCAACATACTCATCAGGTAGATTTATGGAGATTGCTCCAGAAACTCTAAAATGGCATTCTTAGAATGTTTTCTGCCTGTAACTATCTCCAGATACATACACTGGTCTCTCAGCAGCTCTTTCCCTGGGCAGTGATTCACATTTACTCTGCCCGGTTTGTGCTGCAGATCAGCCTCTGCTTGTTGTTCCTCACCTGCAGAGGCCAGCTGAGAATGGCTGGGAGGCCCCACTTACGACAGCTTGCATGTTAGGAAGATTATGCTTTAAAGAGGGCGTGGTTATATACTTATCCCCAGAATGTTTGAAATTAATCCATTTACCTAAAAATGTCCATTAACATTGTATAAAAATGGGGCACATCTGATTTTAATTTCCCTGTGATTTTTATTTCCTAGGGAAAGTAATAGAACACCTATCTTTTCTTAGCTATTTGGCCACTGGCTCTGTGTATGAAGAGGGTGTACAAGCTTTTAATGAATGGTTTCTGGTTTTTCTAAGGAACAGGGTTTTTTTAAGCTGACATTCATTGAGCATTTGGGTAACTTGTGTAGTCCTGTGAGGGAGATGGTGCTCTTGTTAACCTTTTATAGATGAGGCAGTGGAGGGACATGGAGAAGCCCCTTTTCTGGGACCTCCTGACAGTGAGCAGTGGCACTGTGAGTTGGCTCCAGACAGGCAGCTTCCAGAGGTGCTGCTCTTAAACTCCATTTCTTTAATACTAAAAGTGACAATAAACATTATTTGTCCAATTCATACATAAAACTAGTGATTTTGATGTATTGCAGCCAGGGTGTGTACCAGTATATTCAGGAAAATATATCTGTGGTAGAAATTTGCTCATCAGACAATTAAATGACAAGTTCTAAAAAAGAATTTTCTACAAATGGACTTGCAGTGAAGCTTTGGGCAAACCCCCTTCTCATGTCACCCTCCCTCCTTATCATGTGTTCTCAGGACCAGGTAGCTTCAATTCCTCTGTTTGTCAAGGGTCAGGGCTCCAGTAACAACTTCTCCATCATGGCTATCAAAATGTCTCCAGGTGTTGTCAAATGTCCTTTGGGGGCGGGGAAAGATACAGTCACCCCCAGTTAAGAATTCCTGCCTTGTATAATATGGAATACATGCTAGCCGAAGAAACTGAGCTGTGTTTCAGGTTTTTCCCATTTTACCAAGCATTGTTGATGGCCACAGGAGTGATGGGGGACAGCCCTGTGCCAGGACATCCTTCCTGACATGCCCTGGGCCTCTAAGAGTGTATAGGCCATTCTGCCCCTGCATCACTGGCTTTAGGCTTAGGCCTGGGAGCTCTTGTCTTTCTTGGAAGGTTGTGAATAGAAACAGCTCTTTGTCCTTAGCAACAGGCCTGTTTGAGATAAGCCACCTTAATTACAGAATGAGCATGTGGCATATCCTCAGCTTTGTAGAAAAATTTTTGCCCTAAAAGCATTTTCCTTGCTGATTTCAGTTAAGTCCAATCCTCAGAATATCTTTTGTAGGAAATAAACGGCCTGACCTTCAGTAGCAGTCTGGTTTTGGACTAAACATCTTGGTGTGACTCTCATCTTTGACTCTTCCCTTTCTCTTCAGAAAGGACCTAAGTGTGAAATACCCCGAAGATCTTCCCATCACCCTTCCAAACCTGCTGAAGTTCATTTTGCATCACTCAGACCCTGCTTTTATCCCCCAGAACTTGGCTAACCCTCCTACCAAAGAGTGTCTTCAGAGGGAGGCAGTCTTACAGCAGCACATCTCCCATTTGGAGAGAGAGATCCAGAAGCTGAGGGCTGAAATCAACACCCTTCTGCGAGCGCAAATGCAGGTGGAGGCTCAGCTTTCCAGCGCACGCAGGGATGAGCACCGGCTGCTGCTGCAGCAGCAGACCTTGAAGAAGCAGCACAGCTTGCTCCAGCTGCACACTGAGCAGCTGCAGATCCTGTATGAGCAGAAGACCAGGGAGCTGGAGGAGGTGGCCCAGAAGCTCCAGGAGCTGGCCGACGCCTCAGAAAACCTGCTCACGGAGAATTCATGGCTCAAGATCCTGGTGGCGACCATGGAGCGGAAACTGGAGAGCAAGGACGGAGCTGAGAATCTCAATGCCCCGGAGGAGGAGGCACACTCTGACTATCCTGAGCCTTCAGGGTCCCCCCGGTTACCTGGCAGCACCCCTCCCCCTGCCAATATCAGCTCCCCGCTGGCGGCTGAAAGGAGCAATGAGAGTAGGACAGACTAACTTTTTAAGCAACATGAAGAAATCAGAGGTGAAAACTGTACATTGGGAATATATTTATGCAAATTTTATTGAAATTTATTGTAAATAAAGATTTTCTCAGTGGTCTAGAAAATCAATGTGAATGTCATTCAGCTTTTATTGAACAGGGATGACATCCCTTCCACTTATTGCACAAACTTGGTAACTGAGACAAAAACAGTAGCACAGTCCATCTGAAGGTTTGTCTGAAAAATTAGTCCATATTTTAGTGGCTGCGTCAGAGTTCCCTCTCCATTCTCCTATTGTTGCTTCTGTGATGACATACAGGATGAAATGTTAATTTCTTGACTGACTAGTCAGAAAACTTGAACAGAACAGTAGGCAATTCAGAAAGAATTTAATGAGAGGTCATAACTTACTAAGCCAGTTGAGTGTGTCGCTCTGGTGTCTACACTAAAAAAAGTAGCTATTGACAAATAAGAACAGTGAGAGCTATTGTGTGGTTGTTCGCCAGTTCTACAGGCACTTTCACTTTCCTCCCAGAGACCTCCATGAGTGCCCCACCATGCCTGTGACCCTCACCTGGCACTGTCACCATGCTGATGGGATGGGCCTGACTCAAGCTGCAAAGATGTCATCCCTGGCAACCAAGGAGTGGAATAAAGGACTTCCCGACGTGAAACTAAGGAGAAAGCAACATTTCAAAACCCAAACTTCACTGGCACGGTAAAAACCTCAGGGTAAGTCTGACAGTCAAGTGATGGTCATTTTCAGAGCCAGGCTCAGAGACTGAAAATGCAAGTCCCAGGTGCCTCCTGGGTTACTAGGGTGAAAAACAGCCTAGGTGTAAGCTGCTGGCTGCAGAAAGTTAGAGGTAGAAAGCTTGGAAGTTCTGGAATGCGAGGGGAATGGATCAAATGCCCCTACACCTTCCGTTTTTCTTGAGCATCCTTCATTAAAAAGCAAATCTCCCTGATTTTCAAGTCGGCACCTTTGGAATTTGTCTCCACTCCCAGCCCAAAGGGAAAGGGCCTCTGCTGACTTCCAACTTAAGTCTCATGCTTGGCCATCTTCAGTTAAGGGCCAGCAATATTTCTCCTTGCCTTCAACTCAAATTGCCTAACTGCCCATATCCCTCTCTCTAAGCTATTAATGTTTGACCCCCAATTTAGAATTATGGTGCTAAAACAAGAGCTCCCTAAGCTCCCTCCTTGGGGTTCTGGAAAGTAGATTAGTTCAACATGCTTTTTAGAGGAGACCTGAATGAAGCCATAAGTAAGCTGCCTTCAGCCTGACCAGGAGGCCAGGGCTCCTCTGATGGTGAGAGCTGGCGGGCAAGGCTGAGGGCCTCCTGGGAGCTCCATGCCCATGCTGCTGGCAGGCTACTCAAGTGCTAAAGGCCACTGCACTGAGGTTAAAACAAGGCTGGCCTCCAGTTTATTACCCAGGATGCCGATATAAGTCCTAGTTAATCGTGACAGTTAATGTGTTTACAGTGGTGGAATAAAAATCCAAGTGATTTCATACAAGGGACACCTTGGAGATGCAGGCTGTGGAGGCACTGGCCCGATCCAAAAGCCACTAACACCTCATCTTTTTGAAAACTTAAGTGCAGGACTGGAAACTCACTCTCCCCCTCCCCCGTTCCCCCAGGTGCTCACTAAGCACAGGCAGTCAGGGCACATCTGGGGCTCCTGTGTACATGAACATACATGTCCTTCCACTGCACTTGGTGCTCTCGTGGAGTCAGAGGACTCTCCTTCTAGGACAAGGGTGGGAACCTTTTTTCTGCCAAGGGCCATTTGGATATTGACATCATCATTAATGGGCCATACACAATTAATCAGCTTAAAGGTTAGCCTGCTACATTTGGTCAAACATTTAACTCATACCTAATGCCTTGGCAGGGCCACACAAATGATTTCATGGGCTTTATATGGAACTGTGGGCTGGACGTTCCCCACCCTTGTCCTAGGTGATCTGCTGAGGAAAGTAAAATCCAGTATCCAGTAGGTGAGTAGTAAGAAAGGAAACTAATTAGTGAAAAGGGAAGGAGTGGAGGAAACCCCAGTCCCCTCCCCCTTCCCTCCAGTGCAGAAAAGATTAAATACAACAAATAAAAACCACAATTTTCTCTCCTGGGCCAAATGGGTTTCGGATAAAAGCCACTGCCTGCTCACTAAGCCTGTGCTAAGTAATGCCCGGTGGGGGTGGGGGTGGGGGTGAGGGTGGGAAGGGGACAGAGTGCTCAGCATGCTCAAGACCAGGGGGCAAGTAACTGCTCTGCCACTAGGATGCCTGGCAGCCCTCAGGACGTGTGCCTGACTCGTCCTTCACTGGCTCCCAAGCAGCTGCAGTAGCTTCCTTGCAATATCAATAGCAACTGGTATTTAACGACCGAACCTACCTAGAGAAAGACAGTGGTGTGGTTCTCCCATCTATTGCTAACCAAACAGAAATCACCACAGCACCCCAACCGGTCAGCTCTTAAACTTAAAAACACACACATATATTAGAGGCCCCTGCCAAGTGCAACTTGGGCCTTACATGTCCAAGACCCTCCCCCACAGTCTTGACTCAGCTTATTAGTACGGTGAATCCCCTGTATACTATGCAGTATTTTTTTTTTTTTAAATCAGCAAAAAAGGTTTAAGCACGTGCTTCTGGGTCCTATTTACAGTTCACAGGTTTGTGAGTTTACGCGTTACAGTAGTAGCGCCATCAAAACAGGCTCAGCTAAACATTCAAGTAACAAAAGCAAGGTCAGGTCTGCCCACTGCCTGCAATGGGCAGCCCCGCCAGGAGGCAGAGGGAATGCCCAGGGCCACCAAGTCCTGGCTTAGGACGGCTGGGACCCCAGAAGTCAGTGCATGCGATAATGAAGCCTGGCGAGGCCATGCCAGCGTCAACCCCTCCTCTCAAACGGCAGCACGTCTGTGGTTTTCCCCTCCCACGCCTCTTGGCTGGCTGCAAACAGGCCCAGGAGCCTTCACATCCCAGCTCAGCCGTGCACTTCTGGGCCGTTGGGGGTCAGCTTGGCCTTCCTCTCCACACACGGTCCCTTGGCTGAGTACTGCACCAGCAGGAAGGGCTCCTTGGTGTCGCCATCCCCCACGATGCTCTCCTCGTCCTCTGACTGGCTGATGCGCTGCAGCCGCAGGTAGCACCAGCAGCCCAGGATCAAGGCCCCCAGAGCTGCGATGGCGATGAGGATGACGATGACTGTGACCACGCCCGTGGTGGGGCTGTGATCCATAATAGACATGGTCAGCGCGGGGGGAGGCTTCCTCAGCAGGGAGGTCTGTGGGTGACAGGCTCAGTGAGGCTGGAACTCAGGCCGGACACAAGAGCCCTGAAAGACAAAGCGACATGAGGCTCCACTAGGGGCTCTGCAAGGTACCCACCTGAACAGCTCACGAGCTCACATTGGCTCTTCCACCGCGTCTATTTTTAATCCGTTGTGAAGCCTGACCATCCTGCCCTCATCCTAGTGAAAACATGCTGGCTGGCTTTTGTTGTTTCGTGGCCTGTGGTGTTACCAGCCTTCTCCTTACTCACCCTGGCCCACTTCCATTCACTGCCTCTGGAGCTTCTGCTACCAGACAGGCGGCCACCCTGGCTCAGCCACAGAGCCTGACATGTGGAGGAGAAGGGTATGTAGGATACAACCTGTGACCCCACAGCAGCCTAGAAAGAGGGTCTGTGTAAGGTGAATGTTCTGGAAACCCAGCACCACTAGGTGTTCACAGCAGTTCAGGGACGAAACCAGTGCTTCGTGATGGCCAAAGATGAGTGATTTAACAGCAGGGAAGTTTGATTTGACAGCTACCTCATTTGAACAAGTGGTAGCACAACCAAGTTTTCAGGAACACCTGTGAGAGGGTGCAGGAGATGACAGTCTTTGCCCCCAGGACAACAGCAGTTGCCTGGGAAGAGCCCGGATCCACTACACCATCTGAGAGGGAAGCCAGGCAGCAAAGGAAGCCAGGAAGATGGAGGCACTCAAGACAGACTTGCTGATGCGCTGCAGCCACCCTCCTCAAGCTCAGCTTCTGGTGTAGGAGCCAGACTACAAACAGGCCAATATACCAAACACCCTTCACGACAAATGCAGGAATGCCATGCCAGCACAAAAGGAGACCAGGTCCCATGATGCTAGACTGGGTGGGGCAGGGCATACTTAGGGAGGCAATACTGATGTTAAGATGTGCATGAAAAGCCAGCCCTTGGGAACAGCATCTGCTAAGGCTCTGAAGGCAAGAGAGGGCCTGTAGGCAAGTGCAAGGAGCTGAGGGTGCTGGTCGCTGAAGTTGGAGCATCAGCTGATTTGGGTGAAGGTGGGAGGGGGTGTTCATGTACTGGACCACC